GCACCCTGGCCCTCCCGGTCAAGGTATCAGAGATCCACCGGCAAACGCAAGCGGAATCAGTGAACAGACGCAGGGTGGTCGACTTCCCAGAGGATCGCCAAATTGATCCCCCTGATGACAGCATCGAGCTCCGCTAGGTTTATGTGCTGGGGTCCCTTTCTGGACGTAACCAGCAAGCATCTTCTACCACGGCTCCATCGTGAACTATCGATACGCCGGTTGCAAGAGAGCTTGCGTCAACCCACACACAGAGGTCTTGGCTGTCAACGCACCATCTGCCCCGCGCTGGGTCTTCCTTGCGTACTCTCTGCGAGGACCTCCTTCATCATGGTGTTGAGAGGGGCGTCGTGAACTTCGTCATCCCATCCAGTGGTGACGTCAGATGCTCTCCGCTTGATAAACGCCACCGCAACACGCAGCCAGCCACCTACAGGAAGGTGTCAACTAACTTGCCGCACAAAAGGAAAAATATGCTTCGCCGCGTGACAACAGAGGGCATGTCTGGGAGTTCGTTTCCCCGTTTCCAATACAGGACGTTATCTTCTCGCCAGACCTGCAAACCAAGCACCCGTGCACCATCCTGTAGTCTCTCGGTTCCTTGCTGAGGAGGCCAAAGTTGTAGAGATGCTCTTCACGCGCGCCGCAGATACGACTCCTCGTTCACGTACACGTCATCAATATATGCAGATGTTGCCCGCTGTATGCGCTCATCCTTCGTTAGAATGGCGTCAACAATCATCTGCATATCGATGGCGCCACATTGAGTCCAAACCCCATGCGGGTCAGGCAATACCGTTGCCCTTGATAACACGGTTTGATAGGGCCACAGTGATTGGTGCACACGCACTTGAAGGTATGCTCTGCGAAGATCCAGCACAGATACATTTGATCCTGCTTGTCGCCATTCCCTTAGCTTCTCGGTACACGTCCGCGCGGGCAGTAAAAAAGGTCCACGTGCTCATTCAGTTCTCGATAGTCGAGCACCGGCCTCACCTTTTGTTTGTTGTGCTGGAGAACCGCCATTAGCGGGATCAGGCCCTTTTGGGGGCCCCAATTCCTTCTCTGGATAAGGAACCAACCACCGTTATTAATCCAGGCTCGCAATTCCTTGTCGTACTCCGCACGAGCTCGCGGGGGATCTTTATACTCCGCACACTGTTGTGCTGTGCTTCTGGCGGTTGATCGTCTGACCATTTCAAGATACCGTCCAGACTTTGTGCGCTGGTCGAACTCCGCACGAAAGTCAGGCCGTTCCAGCCCATTGCTGCACCTAGAGCTAGACCTGTTTCGTGAAACGCGCCCGACCCTCTTCGTCAACACGAACACCACCCAATTTTTTGATGACGTCCATTCCCAGGAGCAGATCATAGCCGAGCAGCCCTCCGTCCACGACCAGGGCTTGTACAGCTACTGCAGGCCCATCGCCGATGCTTGCGCGGATGACGCTCACCCACAAGAGGTTAGCGAGCCCCCGCCAACAGTCAGAACTGAATATTTTCTTGTCCCACGTGTCACAAATACCTTTGCGCACAAGGGTCTGGGTGCGCCGGGTGTCAGCAAGCGCGAAGCGCTCACGCCCAATCCGCACGCTCACTGCGGGTAGCGCCTTGTTCAGCGGCGATCTGGGAGAAGACTGGCGCTGTAGCCTCCCCTGCCCGTTTCCCCGGACAGCTTCTGCTACGTGGCCCACTTTGTCGCACCTGTAGCAACGCATACGTCCTCCGTATCCTTCGCACGGCTTCGGCAGTCTTTGGAGAAGTGGTTCAGTCCGCCACACTTATAGCACCTTATGTCCTCAGTTGGCGGTGCGGGTGCTTCCATAGCTGCTGAGGCCGGCTCCGCGTCATCTTTTAGAATATTCCGGCTCTGGCCAGTAATTCGTCTAGCCCCAGCTCATTGAGCCTTGACGATGCTCGTAGCAGTCGACTTGCGTTGTCTGGGAGTCCTGCCAGAAAGGCGCATCCTAGGATTTGGTCGCTTGCTCCACCGAACGGTGCGGCCCTTCTCAAATCGGCCAGAAAGACATCTACTGTTTCATCCGGTCCAAGCCGTCGTTCGGTAAACTGCCTCCAGGCGACAAAGGGTCCGGCACCAATGCTGCGTATAGAGCTTGTTTTATTTCCTCCAAGTCTGCGTCATCCCTTAGCTGCTGATACACAGCGTAAGCCCTTTGGTGAGTCTAAGAGGGATAACCAGTGCGGGATCTTTAATTTTACACAGCCGGCAGACCCGCTCGGCCTTTTCCCCACCACTCGACCACAGACGGGCCAGCGGGGGGAGCCGTCGAACTCTGGTATTAACTTCAAGTCGAATCTGTCCATGCTGTAATAATTGCCGAAATAGCTTGTAGCAAAATGAGTCGACTTAAACAGTGTAAGGGACGCAACTCTTTCCGTCTGAAAATGTCTGCAACGCAAAAAACGATGTACACAAGCACGGGTGAAATGTTGGTCTGCCAATGTCTCCAAGCAACCTGCTTTTATGGAGCCCAGACACACCTCATTAGCATGTGTGTAACGCGACTTTGCGTGACTGCACGAGACCGTGAATATTAAAAGTCACGGACGCCATTTTGAATCTTTTCTTTCCTTTCTCAACCCACAGGCCAGGAAGATGCGAGAACGTTTGCGAGGTAGGCCGTTTCTATTTTCCCCACTATATATATATAAGTGAACACTGAAGTCAACACTCAGAGGCTGTTTCATGCTAGGCAGAATCGCGAGATTCGCAGCCTGACGATTGCCCCTAACATGAAACAGCCTGTCGCCTCTGAGTGTTGACTTCAATGTCCACTTTTACATTTATATTTACATACGCTCTATCACTGAGATGGAGCAATTTATTCCACAAATATAGCACACCTTAAAATATTTCTTCATATATATATATATATATATATATATATATGTGTGTGTGTGTGTGTGTGTGTGTGTGTCCATTCCCTTTATATTCTATTGGTGATGATAAGTTCTACTCAGAGTTTTCCCCAGAACGCTGACAATGGGAAACGTGAGAATTCTTACCTGATCAATACAGTAATAACTTCTCTAAGTCTAGGGTTAACTTTTATCTATCCTACCTGTCCTCATAATATGCAACGCTTACACCTTCCAAGTGCGCCCTTATATCATCCTCATTTAGTACACCTTTACCTTGAGAGAGCGCCCTTTGGATATATATATATATATATATATATATATATATATATATATATATATATACTACTGTTATTAACGCATTGCTCTTCAACTATGAATTGAGCTCTTTTAACCACTGGCGTATTCCGTATAAAAACGCTAAAATTTCCCTTTTATTCGTTACCGTGCGCCGATAGCGTAGGAGTAGGATCTCTGACTGATGCCAAATAGGCCGAGTTTCGATCCCGTTCTTCTCTTAATTGCTGATGCTCCCAGGTCCACCCTGACCCGGAGTAGTAGTACCTGTTAAGGTCCCAGCTATGGGCAAATAGTTAACCCCCAAACTTGGGTCAAAACGCTATGAAAGTGTATAAAATAGGTTTTAATACCAGAAATACTTTGTAAAAAATTAATAGCAGAGAAACATTTTTGAACAAAAAAAATTATTACCATTAGCACATATTTAAAAAAAAAATATTACCAGCAAAATAATTAAAAAAAATATATATTAGCAATATTATATTTTTTGAAAAAAAAAGACAAAAAAAAAACATTACCAGCAAAAAAAATCTTGTCGGCATTAAATAACCCATTGAGGTGTTGATATGCCATAGAACAAACCAAACCAAACCAAGTCTATTATTTCAACCATTTCTTCCTTCATCTCGACATCAATTCCTCATTTCAGCTTCCTTCTCTTTCTCATATATCATTTTCTTTCTGTTAACATTTTCCCCCGACTTTCTTCTTCACTTCCATCTCTCTCATTCTTTTGACCGCCATTATGCAAATGGCCTCCAACATTTTCTGCTTTTACCGTCGGCCAGACATCCAGACAATGGACACGATGTCTGCAAAGTACTCACAGATGAAGAGGTCATCGAAAAGCATTGTCTCGTTGCTTTTGATCGGTCGTGGACTTACATAGACGAGAATAGTCGAGCCAAAAGCTGGCTTGACCTCAGCAACAGGTCGTGGCTAGACCGAGGCTTCGTCAAGAGGTTCAGTTAATATGCAACATCACTTCAGATTAGTCGCCGATGTTCTCGCCACTTTTAAATCTTGTATCTTTTTTTTTGTTTTGTTTTTGTTTTTGTTTCGTGATGGCCGTCAATGAAAAACAAACACATCTCACAAGCTGTCCAAATCGGGGAAAGCAGCAAACAAAAAGAAAAAAAAATCGATTTTTGTATCGAAAATGGTGAGAAGGCGGGAAAGAAAGTAAATTGAAATGGTAACTCCGTAAAAATGTGTAACGAAGGAAATGTGATAGGCTGGGGAGTTGAGACAGGAAAGGGGTGTCAAATCGAACACGTATGATAAAAAAAAGGAGAGTAAACACTTATGAAATGCTATGTACTGGGGATTAGCTAGAAGAGGTTAGAGTGAAGCAAATATTTAGCCCGAAAAAGCAGAATGAATGAGATTAAAATTTAAAGGACGTACATGAAAACAGAGAATGTAGAATGTCTGTCCATTTGCTGGGTTCAATCCAATGATTGACCTCGACTATTTTCCAATATCGCCATTAATTTTGAATTGCTATAATTCTTACATGTATGACTCAGTCTGGTTTAGTTTGTTTGGATTATTGGTTATACGCGATATCAACCTCAATGGGTTATTTAATGTCGACAAAGATTTTATTACTGGTAATATTTTGTTTTGTCAAAAATCTATTTCTGGTAATAATTTTTTCCTTCAAAAATCTATTGCTGGTAATAACTTTTTTTTTCAAAAAAAGTATTGCTGGTAATATTTTTTTTCTCAAAAATGTAATGCTGGTATATTTTTTCAAAAACGTATTGTTGGTATTTTTTTTTTTATAAATGTATTGCTGGTAACAGTTGTTTTTTTTTTCTTCAAAAAATTATTGATGATAATAATCATTTTTTACAAAGTATTCCTGGTATTAAAACCCATTTTTACCCGTTTCGGGGTTAACTATTTGCCCATAGCTGGGACCCTAACAGTGTTCTCAAGTCCACCATCGGTCAGGGTGGATCTGGGAACACCAGCAATCAAGATGGGGGTTCAACGTTCCTCAAAACCTGCAGATCAGTAGGCTTTGCTGTTGGACGAAGTTTATCGCCTCACCCAGGACGCGGATGTAGTTTATCGTCATATCCAGGACGGGACTCAGTCTGGTAAAAATTTAAAGCAATACTCCACACACACACACACACACACACGCACACACACACGCACACACACACACACACATATATATATATATATATATATATATATATATATATATATATATATATATACAGACACACACACTGACACACATAAACACACATATATACAATATACACATAGACACACACGTAACCAGGCAGATACACACACATATACACCATATACACTGAGACACACATATACGCATATAGAGATACCCAGGTATGCACACACACAAACATATACACAGAAAGACACCGACACACATACAGAAACAAACATACGCACACATATACACAAGGTTAAAAGGCCATTAACTTGGTTTTAAACAAGCCTCCAAAGACCATTGCGTCCATGAAAGGGAAAACTTAAACAAAAAAAAACCCCAAAAGACAGTTAAATATATATAGTTTCAAAATATATAATAGAGAACTGAAAGGCAGAAATATAAAATATTTGAATGAAATGTTATTCTGTACTATACTTTGATCATTTTAATCATGGAATAATAATGCACAATGAAATTTGAGCTGACTAGAAAACAATTTACTGCTAATAACTCATTCTTGAATTGCTCCCTTATTCTGTTGGTATAGTAAGCCGAAGGTTGCACATCCTTCGCATGTTCCACCAAAATCTTACCATAACCCACGTTGGGAATTATTGCTTTAGAATGAAGTTATTTAATGGTATAATTTGTGGTATACACCAACCTCCTTCGAATAGGCTAGAGTTTTCTATACTTTCATCTTCTTGAAAAGGGCTTCGAAATTAGTCATACAATTTTTTGACATATAGGGGGCTAAGATTACTACAGTTGTTTCGATATATTGTTTCAAAACATAGAGAATTGAAAGGCACAAATATAAAATATTTGAATGAAAGCTTATTCTGTAATATACTTTGATCATTTTAATCATGAAATAATAATGCAATATGAAATCTAAGCTCACTAGAAAACAATTCACTGTTTATAATTCATTCTCGAATTGTCCCCTTACTCTGTTGGTATAATAAGCCGAAGGTTGCATATTCTACGCATGCTCCACCAAAATCTTACCATACCCCACGTTGGGAATTATTGCTTTAGGATGAAGTTATTTAATGCTATAATTCATGGTATACACCAACCTCCTTTGAATAGGCTAGAGTATTCTCTGCTTTCATCTTCTTGAAAAGGGCTTCGAGATTAGTCATAAAATTTTTTGACATTTTGTAATATACTTCGATCATTTTAACCATGAAATAATAATGCAAAATGAAATTTGAGCCTACGAGAAAACAATTCACTGTTAATAATTCATTCTCGAATTGTCCCCTTATTCTGTTGGTATAGTAAGCCGAAGGGTACACATCCTACGCATGTCTCTCCCAAAATATTACAATGCCTACAGATCATTGATCTATATGGATCTGGAAGATTCCAAGCTCTATTCTGGAGAGGTGTGTTCATCTCTACAACATTAATATTCGTTTAACCATGCCATAAAAATGCAAAATGATATTTGAGATCACGTTGGTGTAGTAAGCTGAAGGGTGAACATCCTACGCATGCCCCATTGAAATATTACCATGCTACACCGGTGGGCCATGCGCCCCACGTTGGGAATCATTGTTCTAGATCGTGATTGCTGTTTGCAAGTAAGCAGCCAAGCTTAATGAGGACGTCCCGTTGGAATTTAACCTGCGAACGTTAACTGAATCCTCCTCGAGAAGGAATAACGAAAAACATTTTATAGACATGACGCGCGCTTCCTTGTTTTATTATATTTTAACTTTCGACGTCATCAGAAAAATACAATTTTCCAACTAATTAACTTTATGATCCTGATTAGAAATTAATTAGTTGTTTGAAGATCGGAGCAAATTATAAATAATACCTCAAAAGTCCTTCCGTTTCATCGCTTCCCCATTCTCCCCATTCTCCCCATTCTCTCTTGTTCTTTGTCTTAACTTTCATTTCCTCTCAATCTTTTTTTCCATTTTCCATCTTTCTCCTTTCCGTCGTCTCTACTTTTTTTTATTCGGCTCCTCTTTAATACCTTCTCCCTTCTCTTTTCAATTCATTTCTCTCTTTCTTCTTCTTTCCTTTCTCTTGTTATACCCTTTCTTTCTCTTTTCCTTACACACTCTCTGTGTCTGTCATCCTCCCTTTTCTTTCTGGTCTCTTTTCTTTTAATTTCTCTCCCCGTTCGGTGTCTCCCTCTCTTCTTTCTTTTCTTTTCTGTCCAATTTATTTCCCTTTCATTTCTTTTCCCTTTCTTTCTCCTTTCATTGGACTCTCTCTCTCTTTTTCTTTCCTTCTTTTCTTTTCATTTCCCACCCCTTTTAAATTACTCTCTTTCCTCTTTCATTTTCTTTCTTTTCTCTTCTCACTTATTCTCTCTCTCTCATTTTCATTCCACTCACTCTCATTTCTCTTATTATCTCTCTCTATATGTTCTTCATCTTCTTTCTTTATTTTTCTCGTTTTCTTCCTGTTCTATTTCTGTCTCTCTTTTCCTTTCCTTTCTAACTTTTCATTTTCTCTCCTTTTCTCTCTTTCTCCCTCCTTTCAACTGTCACAGAATTTCTTTTCATACTATCTACATCCACTTCATCTTCTTTTTTTTTACTATTCCCCCTCTCTCCTCTTTACTTTCTACCGTCTCAGAGTCCCTTTTCATAATACCCTACTTTCACTCTTTCTTCCTCTTTTTCATACCCCCTCTCTCTCATTTCTTACTTCCTCTTTTCTTCTCTCTTTTCTAATTCTCCTTTCGTTTCCTTTCACCCCCCCCTCATAAGATCTATCTCTTAGTCTTAGCTCAGTTTTCCTTTTTTCGTCGATATGCGTCTCTCCTTTCATTTCTTTCTTTCTTTCTTTCTTTCTTTCTTTCTTTCTTTCTTCTTCTTACCTCTCCTCTCTAATCTTTTATTCTCTCACTCTGTTCTTTCTTCCCCCACCGCATCTCTATCTCTATCTCCTTCTCTCCTTTCTCTTTCCTATCCGCCGTCTCTAAATCCCTTTATATGAATATATAAATTTAATATGATGATACTCAGGTGTCAGTGCCTCAAACTAGATCCTGGCAAATGATCTCTCCTCTGACTTAAACCCTCACAGATCAATGGAGAAAAGACTGACTTGTATCATTCAATCCGTCCAAAACCAACCCAATAACCTTTCATTATCATTGAGTCAACCCTAAATTTTCTCCAGTCTTGATGAACGGTTGTATTCCCAACGAAGCTTCTTGCCTCGAATGTCTGTTGGGACTCAATCGTACTCCAGACCTCAAAAGAATCTCGCATATACAAAAATCGATTTATGGCAATGTTAACGATAATATTAACCATTTCCTCTACAAGGAATCATTTGCCATTCATAAACGAACAGCTAATACTAATTTCGATTTAAATTCATATATCTTTCCCTTAAAATAATTTTTCAGGAGACCAGGTTTCTTAAGTCCAGTAACTGTTATAGCTCTTTCTACTCTATTTTCGGATTCTCTTCCTAACATTTTACTTGAAGTGGTGTGGAATTTTACCAACTTGATTAAGTCATTATTTTCTTTTTGAGTTACATGCGCTATACATTTTAGTTGTTGCCGATGTTGGTTGTCATCAAGTTGTCGAACAATCACGTGGTCAAGATAAACACTCAGTTGTGGAGCAAGCTGAGTGAAGAACTAATTCAACATTGAGACAGAGAGCTATTTATGGTGCAATGGAGCATCTCATTATGCTAAAGTGGGATAGTCCATTGCTTGGGCTGTGATTGGCTGCTGGTACCTGAGTGGAAGTATTACTATATAAATACTAGCATGATTTCTCAGTTTGCAGGATATGTATTAAGTTGCAACCTGCTTTATTTTTGTCTGCCAGCTGGACGCTAGTTGGAACTCTTACGCCGGTAAGTGCTTTTTATTATTGTTATTCTACACAAGTGATATGGTTTCTGTTATTTGGCACAGTTCTTTGGGATTCTGTATCACCAGTCCACAATCTTCAAAGAAGGATGATCTTTGGCAAGGCCCTAGGGCTTTACACACTCAAACCCTTTTTTTTTTTTACCAGTGATCTGGTTGTATACAGATGACACTTTTGAGATTGATGCTATGTATGACATCCACATGAAAGCCTTGATCTGACGAGGCTGTTTAAGAAGATCACTAGTTTTTAGTTTAATGTTTTGGTTTTGTAGTAACTTCCCCTGGAAGTTAAATTCGAGGAACACAAGATCATAGGTAGGGGTGAAGTAGACAAATTAGGTGTGGTAATGGTAATATCAGGCGTTTCCTTATAAGGAAACATTTGGCATTCATTGACCGAACATCCAGCACTACACTCAGTTGAAATTTATATAATATTTCTCTTGAAACAATTTTTTTAGGAAAACAGATTTTCCAAGTCCAGTAGCTGTTATCGCTCTGTCCAGTATTGACGGGTGTTTCATTCCTAACCTTTTGTTTGAATTAGTGTGGAATGTTAACATCGTTATTGTGTCATTATTTTCTATTCTGCTATCCATTTTAGTTGTTGCTGCTGTTGATAGTCCTCGGGTGATGTAGTTTCCGTTATTTGGTACTGTTCTTTGTGATTATGTAGTGCCAGTCCACAATCTTTAAAGAAATCTTTGCCAAGGCCACCAGGCTTTACTCACCCAAAGCCTTTTCTCACCATTCATTTTAGGAAGTGGTTGTATAAAACTGACAGTTTAGATATTTCTGAACGGGGTTGGCGCCATGCATCCATATGAAAGACTTAATGTGACAAGGCCGATCGATTGCTTGTAGGGTTCTAGAAAATACGTAATTCTTTCTGACATGATCTATCTTTACAACCGTTTGATCATACCAAAAATGGAATAATCCTGTCATATCACTTTTACCCGGAGGATATCACAGGATATAATTCAATATCAACTGATATGATTTAATATTTAATTAAACAAAATGACTAAAATTTTTTATGCAAATTAGAATTTAAATTATTTTATTTATCACTTGGCATCCTCCATAGCTTGCTTAAACTTTTTGGCTAACTTGATGAATTTTTATGAGCATTCTTAAATTTTAAAATTAAAAAAACAAATAATTTTTTCGACTTTTATATAAATATTTCTTAGAAAATAAAATTCTCGAATTTGCATTGATAAAGTCTTTCAGAGGACGAAAGGTGTCGGCTAAGATAAGTTGTCATTGTTCATATTGTGATTTTACAGACATACTCTGCCTGGAATTTCACAAATACACACATATATATATATATATATATATATATATATATATATATATATATATATATATATATATATATATTATTTAAGCAGCATATCATCATTCAAGCATGCTTCATTGAATAATATAGACATATTATGTCTATTTATTTTATAATAATCCTTTCTAGTTCTGTAATCATATTATTGATGTTAAGATGAAATGCATCAAGTAAGGCAACGTAGTTTTCTCCTACTAAAGTACAGCCGATCTCCTCCAATATCATCCACAGGAGTAAATTAATATATATATATATATATATATATATATATATATATATATATATATATATATATTGTAGCATACCTATGGATGACAATGGATATGTCTCAATTCACATAAATACAGTAGTAAATACTGTATGTTGGTCTACACTCGGAGATTCGTCTCCAGCTGAGCTGGTCAAATTCTCTGCCTCCAGGCAGAGAGGATCCCCAGACGAGGCTATCTAAGGTCAGAGTCTCGTCTCGGGAAACAGTTACCCGATTCCGTTTTATATTGGGTCAAGGGGGAATGTTTTGGCCGAGCCTACGGGCTCGGATACCCCACATTAAATTCAGCCTTGTGCCACATCTGACCGCGTGGGGTGGTTGGTAGATATCCTGCAGTTGGAGATCCATTGCGGAATCCACTTGACTCTCTTCTAGCTGTTGACTAATTCTTCTACGCGCCGCTGGCGAATCTTATACGCGTTGTACATGTCCTAAGTATTATCGTTCGTTACCAACCTTCGTTTGATTATTCTATTCAGTAATCTTCCCTAGGTTACAACAAAAATTCAGCCAGCAAAATTTATTTTTTGTTTTAAATTTGTTTTGTGACAGAAAAATGAAGAAAAATTAAAGCGACAAAAAATTGGATAGAATAACTATAAAAAAAAAAAAAAGTGAAAAAATTAGTTTTGAAAAAACAAAAAATTATGGGTCCATTGGACCCACTGGTAGATTGAGGGTTAAAGGTAGTCTCCAACTGAGAATTCAACTGAATAAACCCAACAACAGATCTTCAATAAATATGGATTTATTGATTAGGTATTTTACGATTTTTCAACATTTTGGAGGTTATTTAAAACGAGAAAATAATTTCAGAATGTACGAATCTTTTGGAGATAATGATTTTATGATAAAAGTTCTAATTAACTCATTCCCTGTTATGCAATTAATATATATATATATATATATATATATATGTGTGTGTGTGTGTGTGTGTGTGTGTGTGTGTGTGTGTGTGTGTGTGTGTGTGCCTGCGCGCGTGTCTTTGTGTACAGGGTGCGATGGGTAAACTGTGACCATTTGCTATTTTGAATTTAGCGCATGCGCCTTGTTTGCTTATGATTTTGTCGGCTGCATAGCATAATTGGGTCAGTTGGACACCATCTGTGAAAAAAAGAGCACCATGATGCAATTCACGCCGATAGAATTTTGGAAGCGGCATGCTGTTCACCTTGTAGCGAAATTTCCACTACGACCATATCAGAGTGTTTGGGTGTCCATCTGAGGATAGTGCAGAGGATTCGAAAAGTGTTGGACGATATATCCAGTCAACTTGATGGTTTTTGGAGTGATCACTAGTAATGCGACTTTATGTCTTCATTTATCTTCTCGCAGGGCCTCAGATACGGAGGCCTACATGAAATACTTTGAGGAGGTAGTGCTGCCCTGGGTCAAGAGGGTGGCTGCTGGAAGACCCTATGCCTGGCAACAGGACTCTGTACCATGTCACACAAGCAGAAGAACCCAGTCATGGCTGTCAGACAATTTCTGCGACCAGAATTCACCCGTTCCATCTAGACACCTAATTCTCCAGACTGCAAGCTCCTTGATTATTACGTGTTGGGTCCATTTGGGCGAGAGACAAAAAAAAAAAACATATTGTAATGCCAAAGTTGAACCGAAACGAACGAATATGGCAGCAT